ATATATATATAAGATCTTATAAAAATTAATTAAGAATAATGTATATATCATCCGCTCTAAAATAACTTATAAACAATTTATTTAAACTTATATTATATTATAAGTACATATAAAAGACATTTGAAAAATTTACAATAATATTTTATCATTCATCTATAAGATGCTTTTAATTGGCATGTACGATTGCTTGACAGTGTAACTTAAAAGTGTTGAATTGTTATTTTATTTTATTTTTTAATTATAATTTTTTTTGTTAATTTTATAATTTTTATTTAGGAATATACTTTAATCAATTATTTATTATAAAAAAAATTCAAGTTATATATATTAAAAAATTAATTAATTATATTAAATTTTATTAATTTTTAATCATTTTTTAAAATTAATTCTTTTATAAATATTAAAAGAAGTAGTGTCAAAGCTCTAGAAGATTGTTCTCATTTCGCAATTGTTCTTTACTTCAGTTGCGACAGGCTCAAGTTTGGATTTCTACCTCACTCGTGTTCTACTATCACTACAAAGTACAAACCCCGCCATACTGAGATTGATAGTGTAACCTTTTTCCATTTTCCTCTATTCCATGGATCCTCAAACAGCATTAGAACTCGTCAAGCACGGTCTCACTCTTCTCTTCCTCGATGTTCCTCAGTACACCCTCATCGCCATCGATACTCAGGTCAAAATTTCCCCCCTTTAACCTTTGTCCTTTTATTATTCTCCTGAATTACCAATTTACCATGATGTTGCCTATGCTTTTTTTTTTTTTTTTTTTTTTTGAAATGTTGTTATCACGGTGTCTGAAAATAAAATTTGAAGCTTGTGGGATAAAAAAAATCCAATCATGAATTCAACTTTGTTTCACACTGACAATCCAACATTATTTTTCTTCTGCGTTTGGTTTTGTAGATGTTCTCTGTGGGGCCTGTTTTCAAGGGTATTAAGATGATTCCTCCTGGCACTCATTTTGTGTATTACAGTTCATCAAGCAGGTTTGGTTATGTTTCCTAGCTATCCCTTTTTCTTGCGTAGTTCTTCTTATTCCTGCAAATCCTATCTTCCCTATGGATATATGTGGGTGCCTACTATTAGATTATGAGGCAAGCAGGAAGATAAGAGTGGTTGTGTGCCTGGGTGTGATGAACGAATGCTTTTCCTACAGGTTGTTGTCCTTTCTGTGTTTATTGGTACCGGTGACTTTTCAATCTTGTATGCTGTGGCAACCGTGAATTTTGTATTTTTTGGGAAATAACCTTGGAACATGGTATTGGCAATGATGTATCTCTTGCTTATGGTCTCTATTGTTATGCTTTTTTGCCATAGAATGTTAAGCATAATACATCACTGTTTCTGTCAGTTTCTAGGATTAGTGATGTTTCTTTCTTGTTGTGTAATTTTTCAAATTGTTTGGTGACTTGATTTGATTCTTCTTAAAATTTTTTTTTTTCTGGATTCATGCAGAGATGGAAAGGAGTTCTCACCAATTGTTGGATTCTTTATTGATGCTGGCCCTTCGGAGGTCAGCAAATTATAAAATTCAGTGCCCCAAATGATTCATTAAATTTATATTAATTTTTGTTCACCAAGCTTTGTTTAAATCTATTTTGTAGTTTAGAAATCACAACAGGTACTATATCTTAACGTTATAGTTAATGTTTTCACTTATTTTTTGAAAATGGAATCACAATTGAGATGGGGTGTAACCTTTATGCTTTGCTTTTAATTTTTGGTTGTTGGAATCTTTGGTGATATTGATAGGTTGCTATGGTTTCTTGATAGATTCTCAAGTGAATCAATTCATGCAATTTTGTTTCAGTACTGGCCTAATGAAAAATGTCCATGATATGTGAAACCTTAAAGATTTAAGAAAATAGTTAGTTTTGTCTGTTTTGAATATCAATATTGACTGGTTTTTATGATGTAACTCAGATCGAATGATAGCAATATAACCCAATTGGCTTGGCCCATGAGACTGACCCAAAGAACCAATTACTTGCATGAATATGTGTGACCACAGAGAGTGAGAAATTGCGGGTTCAGATATGCAAGTTTTTTAGGACTGCCATATTTTCATTATTGTTACTTTTATTTATGTTTTTTGTAGGAAGATTCCTTTTCTGTTTCCTGAATTTGCAGATTGCCAATGATTGGCATGTAAAATAGATGTTGTTGAATGAAATAAGGCAGCAGAAGTTATCCACAAATTCTATCACTTTCTCTATATTTCTGGAGGTTCCCTTGACTTGACCTCGAATCCAAGGAAAGGCCCTAACTCTATCATAGAAGGCAAAGTAACTAAAACATTTCCTGTTAATTGAGCCAAAAGTTGTCCTGTGACTCTATTTTCTTGCCAAAAAATGGTGAAATTAAAATTTTTACTTGTTTTTGCCTTGTACGTGTGCACAAATTTTCTTACTCTTATCACAATCCTGTCTTTCAATTTTGGGGTGAGTACACTTTAACCATCATAATTATAACTGGAAATCTAAAATGGAATGATTACTTTTTTTCTCTTCTTTTTTTTCTTTTTCTGATTAACAATTAATTTATTAGAGGTGGAGAGAAAGTTACAACCGAGAGAGCTGGGAGGGTAAAGTCCTTAATAACTAAAGAAATCAAGACCATGAGGAAAAGTGAAAAAAATAAAATGAAAATTAAGAACAAGATACATGCACACAACATACTAATTTCTTTGTAAATCTAACAAAGACATTTCTTTAAAATAAATATTAGCACAATATTGCAGAGAATCTAGGAAACCCACTTGATCTGTTGGTCAATGTTCATTTGTTTTGATCCTTTTTGTGGTGAATCTGTATACCAAAAAATATAAGAAAAATGCAACACAGTGATTATGTGGTTCACTGGTTTGGTCTCATGGCCATGCAGGTAATTGTTCGTAAATGGGATCAACAAGAGGAAAGGTTAGTCAAAGTACCCGAGGAAGAGGTATGTGTTCTCTTAAATTTTTAATACAGATGAAATACAAGTAACATGTCTATAATGCAGCAAAGTTTCATGTTTGATATGGTTTACATCGTTTTAGTCTAATTAGGTCACTGTGAGAAAGTATTTGAGAAACTATAATTTTAGTGGATTTACTTTCACAGGTTTTGGGCATTTTGAAGAAAATGTGGGGAAGCTCCTAATATTCCATGAAATCAATGCTAATTAGTGTTTGGGTTCATATATCTGCCGCAACTTACCAACAAAACAATTTTTCTGCTTTTCCTTTAGGAAGAAAGATACAGTCAAGCTGTTAAAAATTTGGAATTTGACAGACAACTTGGGCCTTATAATCTTAGCCATTATGAAGATTGGAAACGATTATCTAATTTTATCACAAAGAGCGTCATTGAAAGGCTTGGTATGCTATTATTTTGACAAAAGTGTTCTTTGTATTGAATAATTCTTTGATAATTTGATTTGTATTAAATTGTTAATTAATGAGCAGAGCCCATTGGAGGTGAAATCACTGTTGAATGTGAAAATGAGATAGTTCAAAACACTACTAAAATGCCAATGGAGGAAGCACTAAACAAGCAACTTAAGGTTGGTAATTCTGCAACATCTGTTGGCAAGTCTAAGAGGAAAGGGTGCTATTATACCTCAATTCCACGTGTTGTAAAATGCAAGGGGATTAGTGGGCAGGAACTTACTGCTTTGAATCTTGACAAGGTAGGTATACATATACTATTGAATATTTGGTTCTTGAAAAGTAATTGTGAGAAATGCTTCTGTAGTAAAAGAATTCCTGTCATTGTTTGCTGATTTGTGCACTTTTTTGTGGGCCTTCCCAGACACAATTATTAGAAACTCTACTAGCAAAAGAGTATGGAGGTTCTGAAGACGTGCTTCTTGGAGAACTGCAGTTTGCATTTATTGCCTTTTTGGTATTGTGGACAAAACATAATTTCTTTACAAGTTTTGTTGATTTTGTTCAATCCAATATGACATTTTGCAATGGTGCAGATGGGGCAATCGCTAGAAGCATTTCTCCAATGGAAGTCATTAGTTAGCCTATTGTTTGGGTGCACTGAAGCAGTAAGCATTCCCTTTTATCCAGACTAAATCATGCATGCATGCATGGACTTTAGAGTTTCTGGTTTCTTTTTATATGCTTGTCTGTGTTGTGACTCATGAACCAACTATCCCAAAAGCATAAAGCAGTTATGTGATTTTCTATTACATCACTAACATGCCCCTTCACTCAAGAGCCCTTTGGGCTTGATGGTGGATCACATTCCTGCCCACCTAGTGCTGTGAAATTCATCTTTTTATTAGAAGAAGCAGATTGGCAATGATTGAACTTTAGACCACTTGATCATAGAGACTTTGATGCCATGTTGTGAACCATCCCAAAATGTTTTAGTTGTTGGATGGAAGACATATGAATGGTTTTATTTTACATCTCAAGCAGTCTGCTTCACCCCACAAAAATAAACATATTGATTTGCTGCTTGTTGCCAATTGTTGCTTTATATTCAATGAGTACTTGTGTTTTGTTATATGCTTGGTTGATCTTTCAACTTGGTGGTTCAGTTTGTTAAGTTCTTCCTTCTAATTTTGATTCTGTTGGCTTTACCATTTTGCCTTTGCATCATTTCCTGGAGTGTTCCTCATCTTTTGAGTTCTGTGCTTCAGGCCAGAAAGTAGATATAGACATGATAAGAAGAGTCATAATTTTCTATTTTTTTTAATCGAGATTTCTGCATTGTTTAGTATGTTTGCATGACTTTTTATGCTCTTTTGTGCAGCCTTTCCGAACACGAACTCAACTATTCACAAAGGTAAACTTTATTAATGTATTTTTTTTTTGTTTCCTTTAGGTACGAAACATTGGCATTAATACCTGTAATGCTATTAACTTCATCCCTGATTATAGTAGCTCACACTTCCTAATGTAGTCTAGGAGCGGCAAGCAACTAATTCTTGATTAAGAAAATGAGTTATGATCTTAACATATATTATATTATTCCTCAAACACAAACTCCTTTCAATGATGGAAAATCAGAACTTTAACATTCACACTTTTGTGGATTGCAATGTGGAAGACAGGGAAAATAAAATAAGTTCTGTTTAACAATGTGCAGTCCTGGAAATAAGAGACTTATTCAGCACTCAGCAGACAGCTTTTGTGTTGGTATTTGAATGAATAGACAGCACATATTGGAAGAAAAAAATCTACAAAATAATTCAAGAGGGCAGCAAACAATCTGAAATATTATTGTGCAAAAGTTTAGTGTGGTAGTTACTTGCGATGATTTTATGTTTTCTAGTTTTTCTTCCTTGACTATTTGTATTATACAAGTATTTATTTAATATATTGTACATATCCTCAATATATATTATACATTAATTTGATTGGCTTTTTTATTTGAGATTTTATTTTGTTTAATTGTCTAAAATTCTTGTGTCTGCCCTCTTGTTTCTTTCTCATCTTTCCTCACTAAAGTTTAATATTTTTATGGATTCTTGTAGTTCATAAAAGTCATCTATAATCAACTAAAATACGGACTACAAAAAGATCGCATGAATGAATCAGGATCAGCATTGTTGGATGATTCTTGGCTTTCTGCTGATAGCTTTTTGCACCATCTTTGCAAGGTATTTCACTGATTTTAACTTGATATTCGTGTGCACAAATTTGATGTGGGAGACTATGACCTACCTTTCTTAATTTTAAGAAGCTAGATTGGCATCTATTTTGGTCTGTTATGGATTTTAAGATCTTGAAATTCCAAAACTTGTCATTTTAGCACCAAAAGAAATTCACGGGTCAATCTTCAATGTGGAGGTCAGTAGTTCATTTCTTCATATATGTGGCTGTCCTTAATTGATAATGTTAGCATATTAGATTGTGCATTGTTTTTCTCTTGATATTTTCTTCCACTTTCTTTATTATCCTTGTTTATCTTTTTGTGTTTTCTAACTAGTTATTGCGTCCATAGGCCCAAAACGGTTAAATAAGCAACTCATTTCGGGAGGCAAATCAGAAAAAGCTGACAATTTTCATAAGAATAATGTAGGGCTTTAAGAACACATTTTCCTCTCCTAACTGAACATCAAATTCCCTTGACATAAGCATACGTGCCCTACTGGCATCTGTATTCCTATTTCCAGAATAACACAATTATTGCATGCCTATAACAAACAGACATGTTTTGTAAGTCTACCGTGGGATGTCAAAATTGGTAAAATATAAAGGTGTTTTTGTGGGACTATAGCTTCCTAAATTTTTTTTCAAGGGAGGCTTGGTCAAATTAAATGGGGCTAGAAGAAAAATCCCCATTCTTGTTCGATGATTCAGTTATCCTCCTTACAAGACAGGTTGCATTTTGAGGCCATTGATTCTTGTGAACTATTTGCCCAAACTCCAGAGTATTGTCTGTTTCAGTTAATACTAATTGAATATTGTTTTCATTGTAGAAATAAATTATATGCTTTGCAGAGCAACTTATTCCTTTCAGTTGTTTTGGATTGCAGGACTTCTTTTCATCATTGCTAGATGGATCGGTGGTTGATGGAGATCTTTTAAAATGGGTATGGGCATGGAATCTCTGTCTTCATATAATGTGATATTATTATTGATATCTACCCTCCCTAACCTCAACTTGCCTCATAAAGACAAAACAAGGCATGGATTTAAAATAGTTAAAAAAAAAATTGAAAGTGAAAGGTATAAAAAGTATTAGAATAAAGTAACTTCAACCTGGGTTTGGTGTGCTTGAAATGCATTATGCAATATTTCGCAGGGATAGATTTTGTGAACTGTAAAAAAGAAATACCTGGATTTGTTGGTCCTCCAAATTAGTTATGAATTTTTGGGCTGAAAACTTGTTGATGTGATATGTATAATTGACTTTATAAGCAATCTTACGTCATTATGTAGGGAGTTTTAATTCTAATCTTGCACCTTAAACACACATGCATGCACTATCATGTGATTATTATGCAATAGAGTTTAGACTTTAGTGTTATGCCAAGTCTAAATGCAGTGTGTATGAAATTAGTTGCTAACTTGCTGGTTGCTGCTAGCTACAATGTATTTGATTATTAACGAAGAGGAATTTGTAATCTTCCTTTCTTTGCAGACAAGGAAATTTAAGGAGCTGTTGGAGAGCAACCTAGGGTGGGAGTTTCAGCAGAGCAGTGCTGTTGATGGGATATATTTTGAGGAGAATGATGAGGTCAGTATATGAATTTATCCGAGACTCTGAGTTGCTTTGCTCTATGCTTATGTGTTCATGGACCTTATTGGATCACTTTGCAGTTTGCTCCTGTAGTTGAGATATTGGATGATGAAACTACAATGGTTTAGAAATGTGGATTATATCATCATCACTTGGCTATAACAGTTGTTTCTGGGGAACTAAATCATGACTATCACCCACTTTGCATGGCCTTTGGCCAACTTACTCTAAATGGCATATCTTGGCTCATGTTGTACAGTAAATCATTCGTAAAGTTCACCTCGGCAAAGCAAACTATAGGAAGATCATTTTACAGTATCTCAAATTTCAGTTGTTTTGAAGCCAGATATTGGATCTACAGTAGAAATTCAGTAACCTTTTCTTTTTGTGGGATAGACTTTCGATAACTTTGATGTAGATTGATATTTATTTTCTACATATCTTCTCAAATTATGGAACATTTCTAGCTGCTCAAATTTTGATGTAGATTGACATGTTTGAGGAGCTTCTGAGAGTTGAGTCAATAAGATAAACAGAAGCCGAGAGGGCCGAGCATGATGTACTCAATTTAAAAAGCGGAAATTCAGCTATAAATTTATATTAAAATATTAAATTGTATAAATAAATTTATAATTTTGTTTGGAGAAATGAATTCTTTAAATAGTTTTTAGTACTTCGAGTAATCAATGCCTGCTTAGCTTCTATAAGGGATATCTTGGTTCACAATTTTTTTAATAAAATATTTTATTTAAATATTAAAAATTAATTAAATTAAAAAATATTTGTATAAAGACTCGTCAGAGAAGTAGTAAATGAGAACTTCCTAAACTAAATGTGAGCCAAAAGAGCTAGCTAATGTTTCCCATTCTTGTAATCATTACTATCGTTACGTTAGTGCCGGCCCTTTTAGGGTGTGTTTGTATAAATGTTTATCTAAATGTGAGTTTACGTTTGTCTAAAAAAATATCTCACACTTGCTTTTTCATTTTGTGTTTCGGAAATCAGGATTGCCTGTTTGAAGTTTCTCAAACGAAAATTCAAACATACACTTAATATCTAATTAATTTACTTTGTAATTTTTTAAACATAAAACTGATAATTCAACTCCATTAAATTGTTTAAGTATTTATTTTGTCGAGATTAACCAAAATTAATGCTGTCCATAATTTATCTACATGGTGGCTCAACCATATGTGACTAACAACTTAAAAAGTCGTGATAATGAGATGATTCAAGGCTATCTATTGTAGATTTAGGCCATCCCAAATTAGTTGCACTAGTTTAACACAAAGATTTAAATAGATTCACCCAAAGTCAATGTCTGGCATTGAAATGTCGGCACTGAAAATGAATTAATTCTAGGGATACCCTTTATCAGTGAAAATGAAAGTTTGGTCCTTCCTCCTTACTGCCCAAGGAAGTGGAATTAATTTGTCATGGTTTATCATCATTGGCCCCCAGCAAGGTCCTCTCATTTCATGCCAAATAAGGTTTCTTAATTCTCACACTCAACATCAAGTACATCAACTTTTCTCAATATAAATGAATGATGGTAGTACTCCGTGACGGCTTGAAATGTCAACTCTATCATTACTTTGGTTCTTTTAAAAACAAAAAGAAAAAAAAAAAGATGTATTTTTGTTTAAATAAAAGAGAAAAATGAAAAGTAATTTTAACTAATATATTTCCCTCAAAAAAGGAAAGAAAACTAAAAAAATTTCCCTCATGCGTTTGTTTGTTTATATTTATATTTTTTTTTGAACTCATCACACGCATTAATTTTAATTAAGCACAACGTCGTCCGACAAAATCTATATATGGCTGTATTCCCTAAATAATGAGGAATCTTTTCTTTCGAAGTCCCTCTATTAATAATTATTTTATGGACAGTCTTCCTCTTAACGTTACCTTCCTTCAGTTGTACTAATATATAATAATATTAATCTGCCCAATATTAAATTGTGGTCACATTTAGCGACTTTCGTCGATATTATTAGAAAATGAAGTAAATCGTTTTAATCGTTTACATAAATGTGGTGTTAGTCTAACAGTTTATTATAGATCATTTACAAGTATAAATATTCATATTTCATTTATAAAACTTGTACGGGTAGGGGCGTTCAGCCACCCTCTTATCGGCTGCCGAATGGCCGAATCAGGTGGCCGATTGCCAATCGGTCACCTGGATCGGCTTATCTTTATTAATTATCTTTAATAAATGATTAAGGGTTAATTAGCTGATTAAGAAGTATTACCTAATACGGTAAGTATGTTACAGGGCCCATAAGGTCCAGGGCCCACGATTGTCAGTATAAATAGCTCAGGTCAAAAGGTAACGTCACTGTTCATTAATTACTCTAGATTTCCGTGCTTGTGCTGACTTGAGCATCAGAGTGCCTTTTGCAGGTACAAACCCATCTACTCACGTTGGATCGGAATACTCGTTCAGAACACTCGTTCGGCCTTCAGAATACAAGAAGATCATTGGTGTATCCTTATACAGGTACAAAACTTTTATAACATATTCACCGTATATTAATGACCATTGACCAACAGGATTGGGTTTTAAGAAGAAAAAAATTAAAATTAAAATATCATAAAAGACAAGTGCTATGGTGTTTTTTGAAATATTTATA